AGGACCCCACCTAACCCTGTAAAGGTGAAGAACTATCCTCCCCATAGGCTCTCTGGGTTCCATCCACTCCAGGTTTGCATAGGGACATGGGTAACTTTCTGTATTTTTACAAGGTCTTCTACTGCCAGATTCTGGTCATCTACGTGTATACAGCAGTTAATAAAATTAACCTTCTCACATGCCCCTCCTCCTCCACAGCCAGTAAGTAGTTTAGGGCTAATCTATTTTGATGGATGACATTTAGTATCTGGATCTGTTGACATGTAAGAAGGGTTAGAGCCACCTCAGTTCCATTGGTTATAGATTCAGTTACCTAGGAGGGTGCCCTCTCTTTTATAGCAACTATAAAAGAGTAATGTGGTTACTGTTTGGCCTACCTTGGTGGTGTGGGTGTATAGATTACACAGATTTCTCCCTTTCCCACACCCCAAAGTCTAGTTAAAATGAGTCCCATGGCAGACATCCTCATGCTTCGGCCATGTGTAGATCAGCCAGCTCCCGGTTTGTGACTGAAGCAGGGCGAGTTACACGTCTCAATGTTACCTGATGAGGGTTGGTAACATCAATTTCAGCTTCTCATTGAAACCAGGCTTTCTTCAGCCTGCTGTGGTGAATCCAGGTGGGGAGTCTTTCCACCTTGGCTGCTGGGCTTGGGATAATTTCTTGTTCCAGTACTCAGTAATCTTTGCAGATGCTTCTGGATGCCCTCCCAAAAGGAAAAACAAATCAGATACATTTATTATACTCTGAGCTAAATAGGCCCAAATGTTTTTCATCCCATTGAAAGGAATAATGTCTTATGAGAGTCCCATTGTGTTCAAGTTGAGTCCCGCTAACTTGACAGCTGATGGGGTGGCTAGAAGGACTTCCCAGGGTCCAGTCCACTTTTTTCTTTAACTGGTTTTCAGGTCCATCTTTCCATGTTCTGAGCAGAATATGATTTCCACGCTGGAAGAGATCAGGTTACCTGTTCCAGAAATCTTGGCTGGTTTCTCTGGTTCTACCTTTCCTTTTGAGTCCGGTCGGGAGAGGTGGGTGCAGCAGCTAGCTTCCTCCACTCGCAGGAGGAGGGACCATCAAATGTGGTGGTGGCGCTCCGTCTTATCCGCCCAAGGGAGCTTGCCATTAGTCACTCCCCGACTCCAATCCAGTGGCTCAAGGGGCCAGTGTTGTCGGTTTCCCAGTCAGGGAACCAAATGTTATAGCAGTTTTAGATTCATGGTCGAAAAAACCGAGGCCACTCAGAGAGGGGAAGTAGAGTTTCAGATTTTATTAAGCCAGTTCACTCAGAGGAGCTAATTGCTCCAGATTCTGAGCCCCAAAGGGTGGGTAACATGGGACTATATGGACGCAAATACCTTTTAAAACAACAAACAGTGCAAAAGGTGACTGACTGTATGTATTCCAGATGGAATACACAGGAATCAAATTGACTATATTTGTAGGAAGAGATGCTGGAGATGTTCAATATCAGCTAAAACAAGACCTGGGCCTGACTGTGGAACAGACCATCAATTGGTCATATGCAAGTCCCGGCTGAAACTGAAGAAAATTCAAACAAGTTCATGACAGTTAAAATATGACAGTCAAAAATCCCACCTGAATTTAGAGACTATCTCAGGATCACATTTGATACAGTACACACTAATGATCAAAGACCAGAAGAGTTGTAGGGTGACACAGAGAACATTATACAGGAAAAAAGCAACAGGTCAGTAAAAAGACAGGAAAAAAGGCCAAAATGGATGTCAGAAAATACTCTGAAACTTGCTTTTGAGCGTAGAGAAGCTAAAGCAACTGGTAGAAATGAGGACGTAAAAGAGCTGAACAGAAAATTTCAAAGGGTGTCTCGAGAAGACAAAGTCAAGTATTCTAATGAAATGTGCAAAGACACAGAGAAGGACATTCTCAGCATTTCTCAAGGTAAAAGAACTGAAGAAATAATTCAAGCCTCAGCTTACAATAGTAAAGGATTCTATGGGCAAAATATTCAATGATGCAAAACGCATCAAAAGAAGATGGAAGGAATACACAATCACTGTATCAAAAAGAAATGGTCGGTATTCAGCCATTTTGAGAAGTAGCATATGATCAAGACTCAGTGGTATTGCTGGAAGAAGTCCAAGCTGCACTGAAGGCATTGGTGAAAAACAAGGTTCCAGGAGTTGGAGGAATAAAATTGTAATCTTTTGACAAACTGATGTAGTACTGGAGGTACTCACTAATCTTTGCTAAGAATTTTGGAATACAGCTATGGGACCAATTGGTTGGAAGAGATCCATATTTATACCCATTCCAAAAAGAGGTGACTCAATGGAGTGCATAAATCATTGTATAATACCATTAATATTTCATGCAAGTAAAATTTTGCTTAAGATAATTTTAAAACGGCTGCAACAGTACATCAACAGGGAGCTACAAGAAAGTCAAGTCAGATTCGGAAGACCTGGAGTGAGGGATATCATTCAGCCAAGATGGGTCTTAGCTGAAAGCAGAGAGTACTAGAAAGATGTTTACTTTTGCTTTACCGACTCTTCAATGACTTTCAACTGCTTGAATCATGACAAACTATAGATAACAATTTGAAAAATGGGCATTCCAGAACACTTAATTGTGCTCATGAGGAACCTGTACGTAGACCAAGAGGCCATTGTTTTAACAGAACAAGGAATACTAAATGGTTAAAAATCAGGAAAGGTGTGTGTTGCTGTGATTATTGAGCAAATTATCCAAGAAGCTGGGTTATATAAAGAAAACTGTGGCATCAGGATTGGAGGAAGATTCATTCATTAACAACCTGTGGTATTCAGATGACACAGCTGTGTTTGCTGAAAGCAAAGAGGACTTAAAATACTTACTGATGAAGATCAAAGACCACAGCCTTCAGTATGGATTGCGCCTCAATATGAAGAAAACTAAAATCCTCACAATTGGACCAATAAATAACTTCATGATAAATGAAGAAAAGATTGAAGTTGTCAAAGATTTCATTTCTCTTGGATCCGCAATGAACACTCATGGAAGCAGCAGTCAAGAAATCAAACAACTTATTTCATTAGGCAAATCTACTGCAAAAGACCTCTTTAAAGTTTTAAGGAGCAAAAACTTAAGAGGACTAAGTTATAGAGGACTAAAGTGCCCTTAACCCAAGCTATGGTATTTTCAAATGCCTCATTTTTGTGTGAAAGTTGGACACTGAATAAGGAAGATGATAGAAAACTCAGTGCGCTTGAATAATGGTGTTGGAGAAAAATATTAAAAGTACCATGAGCTACTAGAAGAACAAACAAATCTGTCTTGGAAGAAGTACAGCCAAAATGCTCCTTAGAATGCTCTCATACTTTGAACATGTTATCAGGAGGGACCAGTTCCTGGAGAGTGACCTCATACTTAGAAAATGGAGGGTGAGTAAAAAAGGAAGATCCCCAAAGAGATGGATTGACAAAGTGGCAGCAGCAGTGGGTTTAAATGTAACAACAGTTGTAAGAATGGCGCAGGACCAGGTAATGTTTCATTATGTTGTACATAGGGTTGCTATGAGTTGGAACCGACTTGAAGGCACCTAACCACAAGGTCAGCAGTCCAAACCCACTAGTGGCTCCTCGGAATCCCTATACACGGTTGCTATGAGTCGGCAGCACTTAGCAACAACAAACACCAGCCATGACTGATGAGAATTCTGGCCCTGTGTGAGTGAGCCTCAGAGGTTTTTTTGCCTGCTGCCTTTTAGTGATTCTTTTCCTTAAATCAGGTCGTTTCTTTATAAACAAACTCATCAGAAGACTCGGGATTTCTGTGCAGCTTTTGCCTCTCTGTAATTTTCTTCTCTAGATCTCTCTTCACTGTGACTTCTAGCTATACTGGTGTCCCTGAATTCTCAGTTCTGTCTCCTTGACTCAAGAAGACTGCCAGACCCAGTTTTACTCTTGCTTAAGACTTCTGTGTTCTGCAAACTCCCTTCATGCAGCAAACTGGGGCAACCTTAGGGTTCACTTCATTTGTTTCCTGTTACTCAGGGTTCACTATACTGTGTTGTTATTGTTTAATGTTCAAAAACCATTGTTGCATATATTTTTGTTGTTTTAGATGAAAACAACATGATGTTACTCTATCATAACTAGAAGCAGAATCTATATTCAATGAAGTTTGAATTCAATTGCTGAATTTTTTTCATTTCCAGAATTTCCATTTTTTCTTGTAGCTTTTATCTATCTGCTATGATTTCCTTTCTTTTCATTATTACAATATTTCCCCGTCTCATTGACCCTAGGTATGTTTATAACAAATGCTTTAACATCCTTGTCTGTTAATTTGATATTCTTGTCATCTTGGAGCCAGTTTCTGATGGTTATCTTTTGAAATAAGGTCATGTTTTCTTGTGTCTTTATACATCAAATAATTTTGGATTGTAACTTGTGACTTATGTTGTAGAAATTCTGGATTCTGTTTTATTCTTCTGAAGAGTATTGATTTTTGTTGGTTTGAGCTGGCTCAGATTGCACTAAAACTGCAAACTCTGGCTCTTGAATGGTAGCACACATTTCAGTTCAGTTCTTTTATTTATACTTAAGTAGTTTGGATTCTGGACTGCAAAGGTGTGACTCACGGGTCAGCCAGCAGTTTGGGCAGAATTTATACATAGAGTTCTGAGCTTTCCCTTTCTGGTGCTCTTCTCTCCAAGATTCTTCTCTTGCTTTCTACTGACAGTGGTTGTTTTGAACTTTGGCATTTGTTTTTTTAGGCTAGACAAACCGTGGGGTTTCTGTTGTACTTCTTGTGGACTGCCTTAGGGTAAAAGGTGTTGACTGCTCAAAACTGCCATCAGATTTTGTTCATTCTCCAGTGCCTTCTGGAAGTTGATTTTCAATTTTGTTCAGAGAGTTTATAGTTTTTATTTGTGAAAGGGTCAGTCTGTAAGGAGATTGCTTTGCATCTATTTTTAAATGAAAAATTCTCATGAAACCAATTTAAATAACAAGAGAATTTTAAATTCTTTTCAGTAAAGGTCATACGAATGAAATGAATGACTTGGTAAAGTTGATGACTCAGACCTTGAAACTCGACTCTAAAGAAAGCTGTGAGGATCTGCTAGCCCCTATTCCAGTATCAGAGTTCAAACTGCATCGCAAATATCGGGACACACTGCTGCTTCATGGGAAAGTTGCAGAAGAAGCAGAGGGACTCCATTTTAAAGAACTGCCTTCAGGTGACCAGGTTATTCTTTTGTAGCAAACTAGAAAGCATACGCTTAGGAGAGATACGTGTTAAACCAAGGAACTAATGCCTGTGCATATTTTTTATTTCATCTAAATATTTCCATAACTGGTGTACATATTTTGTGGTGTATTCCTGAAAAATTACATAAAAACTTATTTTTAAAAAAATAAATGTAATGTAGGTAAATGTTTGCAACTTTTCATGTGGATTTTCTTCGAGTTAAACAACTGTATGTGTATTTTAGGTTTAAGAGGCTTGAAGCTCAAGTGATATATATATATATAGTGCTGTTGTTAAGTGCCTTCAAGTTGGTGCCAACTCATACTGACCAGCACATTAACCCATGTGCCACCGAATTGGTTCCGACTCATAGAGACCTTGTACATGGTTTCTGAAACTGGTGTGGTGCTGCAGAAGTAATGCACTGGACCGCCAGGTCGGTTTGAATCGCAAAGTCTGTGATTCAAAGTCACTAGCTGCTCCTTGGAAAACCTATACAGGATCCCTATGAGTCTGAACTCACTGGAAGGCACCTAACAACAAATCTTTACAGGAACAGAAAGCCTCCTCTTTCTCCCTCAGAGCAACTGGTAGATTTGAACTGCTGATTTAAATGTGAATAAGGTCATTAAGCCAAATGTTTGTTAAAGTAAAAGTAATCTTTAATTTTCAAAAGCATGCTGCAGTGGTGTGAATGTTTATTTTTCTCTTTTATTGTTTTTTAGCTGTTGTGCCAGGTTCTGAAAAGATCAGGAGAATAGTTGAAGTCTTGCGATCTGATGTAATCCAGGGCCTGGGGATTCAGCTTTTAGAGCAGGTGTATGATATTTTGGAAGTGGAGGATGAATTGGAGAGAGAGGTGAGTGTTCTATTAGCTGTGTCAAGCTATTTCTGCCGTAGAATTTAACAACTTTTTTGAAATGTTATTTAAATACCATTTACTTTATATATTTATTGCATAAAATTCTGTGGTTTTTAGTATGTTTACAGAATTGTAAGACCATCACCACAATCAGTGTGAGAACATTTTCATCACCCCTAAAAGAAACACTTTCAGTTCCCTCCCGTAACAACCCCCAGCCCTAAACATACACTGATCTACTTTCTCTCTCTACAGATTTGCCTATTCTGGATATTTCATATAAATGAAATCATACACTATGCAGCTTTGTGATTGACTTCTTACGTTAGCATAGTATTTTTAAGGTTAATCCATATTGTAGCCTATATATCGGTGCTGTTTTCCATTGTATAGAATGATATGTCACATTTGGTCTATCTAACATGTGTTGATGGGCATTTGGATTATTTTTACCATTTGGCTATTATGAATAATGCTGCTATGAACGCTTGTGTAACCATTTTATGTGGACATATGCTTTCAGTTCTCTTGAGTATATACTTGGGAGTACAATTGCTGGTTTATGTGGTAACTCTGGACTTTTGATGCGGTGCTGTGGATCTGCACTTAACTGCAAACCACAAGGTTGGCAGTTCAAATCCACCAGCTCTTCCTTGTGGGAGAAACATTGTTGATACCGAAAAACACTCAAATAATCCAGTCTGTACTCACTTTAGTGAGAGTGAGGTTTTCTTTGTTCGGTTGTGTAAAATTGGACGTCCAACCAGTAAAAGTGCCTCGCGGCCGGCTCTCAAAGAGTTTTAGTCCCATTTCCCAGTTAGCATGCAATTCACAATCTAGCTCAGATGGTACCCATGGTCTTAATGACTGTATTCTTATTTTAAGTTCCTAGTCCTAGAACAGACTTCTTTACCCCATCCCCATTTCATCCTGCTTACATATTCCTGGGTGTGAATCAATAATCTCTGTCTGCTCTAGCAGTCTCCTTTGCCCTTTATTCCTGAAGATGGACCATCTTGAGAATTTCTCACAAACCTCCTCTTTTCTCTTTACACTTATTGGTCTCATCTTCATTTATTCTTCTTAAATCCTCATAAAGTGTCTCAATTCGGGATGTTCCCAAGAGTAGAGCTAACTATGCCTATATTAGGTTGCATCGTACTTGCACCTGAACTAAAACATGTACAATTGAAAATGCACCAGCCCCGTTTTCTTCTTATATTTCACAGATGAACAAAGCAGAAATGTTTAATGCACACATAAATGTCTAAAAGCCTCATTCAGTCCATGGGCCTAGAGTTCACGGCTGCTCTCTCTGTCTATGTCACCACCTCTGCCACCATCTCTGTTATCACTGCATCTTCAGGCAGGGATCCCAAGCTCCTCTCCTGCCCTTTTTGATGGTCCTGGAATTGCCTGTTCCTGAAATAAAAGATAACTTCTCCCTCCTTTTAAGGAGCTCTGGTAGCATAGTGGTTACAAATCAGGCTGCAAACCGCAAGGTCAACAGTTCGAAACTACCAGCTTCTCCGTAGGAGAAAGATGAGGCTTTCTAAGCTCCCGTAAAGATTTACAGCCTCGGAAACCCTGTACAGGGTCACTGTGGGTCGGAACTGACTCCACAGCACACAACAACAATAACTCCCTCCTTTTAGCTATGTATCTTTTACAGTTTTTACACAATTAATATTACTAAAAATTACAATTGAAATAATAAAATCCTATCAGCATCATTCCGTACCCCCTTTCACCAGACCCCTCTGGAAAAGAGGAAAACTAGTTAGTGGGGATTTTCCCTTGACATCTCATTCTTAAACTAAGCACATTCATGAAAATTTGTTTATCAGCCACTTCATGCCTTTATAGCAATGTTGTTGTTGTTGTGAAGTGCCATCGAGTTGGTTCCAACCCATAGCGACCCTGTATAGGGTTTCCAAGGAGCATCTGGTGAGCTTGAACTGCCGACCTTGCAGTTCAGATGGCTTTGCAGTCTGGCGCATTATAGCAGTGCCTAAATTGCCCAGGAGTCCTGGTGTGGCGCTGTGGGCTAATGCATCAGCCTGTAAAGTCTTATTTCATCTCAAGGTCAATGGGTGCCGATAGAACATTCCCCCAGTTCTACTCACAACTAGACCCAGGTGATCATCAACAAGCATACTGCTCTCTAGTTCCCTTCAACTTTCAGTCCTAAAAGGGAGTTTTCTTTGATGGGCCAACTTTCCTTGCCTTGACGCCTCTGAAACTCAAAATGCCAAACTGCTTGTTTTTTTTTTTCGATTGTGTCAATTTCCTGTTCTTCCAACAGTTCTGGGTTGGTCTGTGTGTCTTTTCAAATACAAATGTATTAACTCTGAAGTTCTGATGGGTTTCAAGATTCTACCTTACAGTTCTACAAAGGCTTAAGCCAAGAAGTCTATTATTTATTTATTTATTTTGGGGTATAATTTCTAACTCCCCTTTTAGAAAATCTAATCAAGTATAGGCCGAAGGCCAGTTTACAAACTTTCCATAATCATAATTCCCAATATTCCTATCACACATGTATGTCTATTTTACAATAATAGGCAAGAGAAGCCAACATCTGGAAGTCAGTGAAACACAACACTCAAGTTCAATCTTTCCCTTTATCTTGGACTGACCCCATTCATATGCATATGGCCTTAGACCTCTGGCAGGATAAATTCCAGTAGGCCCTGGCCACAAATCAGCTATCTTTTCTGTCCTGCATGACATCAGCTCCTGGCAACTCCAGAAGCTGCTCTCCTTTCAGCTGAAACATTTTATCCCATTCCTCTTCGTTTTTTCTCCCAGAAAACCTCATAATTTCTTAGGTCAGGAGCCATTGCAATGAATCCTGCTCACCGCGCCAAATGCTTAAACCAAATAGGGACCATGTCTGACTTCCTCTGAATCTGGACTAGTCTTCAAATTCAGGGAATGATACAACATCTAATAGCTGTCTAAATTGTAGCTATTGTTTTGAGAGAGGCGAGGATTTGTTTTTCTACCTTCCCAAACCACCCTTCTGATTAGTCAGTGGACGGGTCGTTGATCCTAGCGTTCTTGGCCAGTTTACCCTTGTAGGGCATCACTGGTGTAGTTTATGAATCTCTATTGGTTATAGTAGATGTAATTAGTGCAATCTACATTTTTTTTAGACCACCAGAAAAGTATACTCTTAAACCCTGCAGCTCTCCAATTCTTAGCTTTAAGCTCATTATGAACTCTTATAGGGATTCCAGTGGCGTTTATATAAATATATGGATCAAAAGATCCAGAAAGAGATCTACTCAAGATTTCTCATTGTGCTCGCAGAACGCTAGGGTGAAGGGAATTGCCAATTAGACTAAGGTGCACATCCCAGTCCAATCAGACGGCAGCAACTCTTGGAAGCTCTCTCCACGACAATACGCAGGGTACTCTGAGGGCTGTATGATTGCCACTTCTAGGCTTACCACCTTGGATGTGGGCGCTGTAAACTCTGCTCCCTGTCTTGAAGGACAAAAAGAGTGGTTCACTATCCCTGTGAAGAACGAGGAGATTGCTCATTTCCCCAAACATTCTGTCTTGATACAGAGCCAACATGCAGAGCATTTCCCAACCCCACACGAAAGAGATCCACCCCTTCTGTGATTTATGAGCTACGCAAGCATGGCAGTCACTTTTGTTAAGAGCCTGTACTATATTTTGTTTCTATTTCTAATGTTCATCCTAGGTTTTTTATCTAAATCACGTCTACTCTTTTAGGGTCATTTTCATCTCACAGCATGTCATCCAGAGATGTGGGCACCCATTCCATAGAACCAGGTTGCTGCTCTTGGTTCCTTATCACTGACATGGGGACACTAATTGAGATAAGTCTAATTTTTTATTTGAGGGAATGATGCCATGATTACATTTACTATCATCAAACTGACCGACTAGTAGTAGGCAAAAGCCCTTTGCACCTCCTCCTTGATAATGACACATTTTAGCCATTTTAACTTGAAATCCACCCCATCTAGCAGAGGTATGGCAAGGCAGCCTCTCAGACTCTTTTCATGGTCACTTTGAGAGGCTCTCTGGGCGAGGAATGTGCTTCCCACTGTTAACTACTTTTCCCTTGGGGAAAATCCCTCTTCACTGGTCCCTTTACTCAGGTACTAGTGAGTCCACACCTTCTCTGCAGTCCAGACAGCCATCTCGATGGTCAGTCACACCTGGTAAGGGCCCTCCCAGTCCAGCTGGAGTCTGTCCTCTTTCCAGATCTTGATCAGCACCAAGTCTCCAGGTCTGAAGTGATGAACAGTAAATTCAAGGGGAGGGATTTGGACCAAGAGTCCTTTTAACCTGAGGGTTAGCAAAGCAAAAGACCAGCACACAGTTTCCCATGTGTGGGTAGGTCTGTGGTCCTTCCCATGTAGGGGAGCCTATTTACAGTGGCATAGCGCCCCTTTAGCAGTGAATACCATTCTACCCTTCAGCTTCAAAAATTCTGAGAGGATTCACATGAAGATATTCAGGGATAACACAATCTCACAACAGTATTTACTACACCCTGTCCTTTTCCTCAAACTAAAACAAACATTTCTGGATTTATTATCTTCATGCATGAATACTTCACTTAAAAGCTTCTCAAACAGAAATGCCAGTTAAACATACTTTAACATTATAACCTTGTCAAATGAACTGAAACTATCAATACTCAACGATTACAGCGCTACATCCTTTTCCTCCTCTTAAAAAGATGAAATGCATACATACAGGCTAGCCCAAATTTTAACAAAAAATATTTTCAAGTCAGAGTATTGGTACACCAAATATCTTTTTTTTTTTTTAATTAAATGTTTTATTGTGAATTATGTGATACTTTACATGGGAGAACATTAGTTTTATGTTCATCCTATCGTATATTGTTTCATTGCCATGGTTACAATCTCCTCCATGCATCATCAACCAACCAAAGGGTATACCCTGCAAGCCTGCCCCCTGGTCATCGGCAAACAGCCCCTCTCCCT